ACCCTTTTCTGTGGGTCCCCACTGGAAGATGTTTTAGACTTGTGGCAGGCTTTGGGGCATTGCTCTGGGCCGACCCCATATGGATGGAGTTTTACCCACGAGGGAATGGGTAACTTTGGGTGCTTCATTTAGAAACTAGACTCTTTGCCTCACCTGTATTGTTTCCTAGTTTTTATTAAAGATCCTTCCCATTAAAGTGTCATATGTTTTGTGTTGATGCGGCGGATGGCAGAACCCATTTAGAATAGGCAGGTTTGCGGGGTTTGGGCTGCCCCTCTCCCTGTCCTATAACACCTTCAGCACTTTGTAGGGTCCAGCTTTTTACCACAGGTCCCCAGTCATGCAAGGTGAGGTCCCAGTGACTCAGCCTCATGATCCAGCGCTCCTCCCCAACTATCCCAGCCACAAGAACAAGGTCCAGGAACTCTCAGGGGGAAAAAACACCACAGAAAGGAAACAAAATCTCAGAACCAAACCACAAAGACATGGAAGAGCTTCTTTACCTAACAGATATATAATTCAAGATGACCATGGTTAAAAAAATCTTAAGAATGGGAACAACAAAGAAACCTCAGAGAAAGGAATGAATACTATGAGAAACACAATCAACAAACAGAAGATTGAACTTTAAACAAGAGAATAACAGGATCACAGGTGGGAAAAAAAATCAGGAGAAAGCCATACAAGTAGAATAAATCGAATGGAAGAACAAACCCATGATCTCAAAGATGAAAAAGAGGTAAGATAGGAAAGAAAGAAACAAAGGGAAAAGGATGAATAAACATATTGAGAATTATCTGACACCATGAGGAAAGAAAACATAAGAATCATAGGGATCCCAGAAGACGACAGAGAGAAGAAAATTGAGGATATATTTAGGGAAATAGTGGAGAACTTCCCAACTTGAAGAAATAAACATAAAAATACAAACACACACACAAAAAGAACACCAAGCTACCTAGATGAAAGGAAAACTACAGTAAGATACATAATAAAACTCCCAAGAGTCCAAGACAAAGAAAAAATGAAGCTGGTAAGGGGGAAGAAACAGATAACCTATAAAGGAACACAATTAGACTAACATTTAAACGTCTCTAAAGAAAATCTAAGGGCAAATATGGAATGGAATAACATATTCAAAATAATACAAGAAAAAAGAAGCCAGTCAAGAGTACGCTATCCTTCATGGTTTTCTTTCATGTGTGATAAAAAGATAAGGACCTTCTCAGACAAAGAAAATCTTAGGGGGTTAGCATCTAATAACCCTCCCCCTTCCCCCAAGAAATATTCAGTCTTAGGCTCTAAAGCTGAGAGTGGAACAGACAAAAAAAAAATGAATAAGGAATTAAATAGAACCACAAAGCTAGGAACAAAATGGCAGTGATAACATTTACATGTCAATAATCATTTTAAATGTTAATGGCCTGAACTCACCAATAAAAAGACACAGAGCATATGATTGGATGAGGAAGCAGAATCCAACCTTCTGCTGCCTCGGAAACACATCTAAGTACAAAGGATAAAAACAGACTGAAAGTACATGGATGGATAACAATTCTATAGCCAAATGTCACCCAAAGGAAGATAGGAACAGTCATACTTATTCAGACAAAATAGACTCTAGTTTAAAAAAGAAACAAGAGACAGGGATGGGCACTGCATAATGATCAAGAGAACAATACACAGAAGACAAAACACTCATCAGTATATGCCCACCAAACAAAGGAGCGAGCACCAAAATACATCAGGAAACTATCAAATTTGAAAACAGTCATTGAAAACAAATATGCTGTTGGAGACTTCAATAGCCCATGCTCACAAATAGATAAATGAGAAAGCAAATTAGACAAAGTTGCCCTAAACAAAGAACTACACATGGATTTAACAGATATTTAAAGGGATTTAAAGGGCACTAAACTCCTCCCCGCCCCCCACCAAAAGCAAAATACACATTTTTTGAATTGTACATGGGTCATTCTCCATGATTGACCAATACTGGGTCACAAGACAAACATTCACAAATTCAGGAATATAGAAATCATACCAAGTATCTTCTCTGACCATAAAGGTAATCAACTACAAAAAGAAAATAAGGAAAAACTTTAATACATAGAGACCACAATACACTATTAAGGAAGGGTTAGTAAGGAAATCAAAAAAGAAATAAAAAAATACCTTGAGGCAAATGGAAATATGGACACAACCTTTCAGAATGTATGGCACACAGCAAAAGCAATACATGCCAATAAGAAACGAGAAGGAGCTTAAATAAACAACCTTGTCTCTCATCTTAAGGAATGAGGAAAAAAAAAAAAGAAAAAAAAATGGCCAGTAGAAGGAAGGAAATAGGGCCTCCTCAGTGGCGCAGCAGTTGAGCGCTGGGTTGCGAAGCTGCCTGCAGCCTCCGCGGCGCCAGTTCAATCCCCGGCTGCTCCCCGGCCACCAGAGGAGGGTCCCACATGGCGCGCAGACCTCTCCTGCCGCCCGCTGCTCCCCTCAGCAGTGTACTTTGGTCTTTCTGCCTGCTCTGCTCCCCGCTCTGGCTCTGGTGAATTCTCTCACCCTCCCGCACTTCTGACTGTACCCAGTGCATGTATAAACAAACAAACAAACAAATAAATAAATAAAACATGCCTCTTTAAAAAAAAAAAAAAAGGAAGGAAATAATAAAATTAGAACAGAAATAAATGAAACAGAAATCAAAAAGATAGTCCAAAAGATCAATGAAACCAAAAACTGGTTCTTTGAAAAATAAACAAAATAGATAACCATTTAGCTAGGCTCACTAAGGGGGGAGAAAACTCAAATACGCTCTAGAATGAAAGAGGAGAAATTAAAACAGACATTGGACATTCAGAGAGTAACAAAGGATTACTTTAAACATTTATATGCAGAAAAATTCAACAACAAAATGGACAGATTCTTAGAATTACACATGTGTCCACCTTGAACAAACTAATCACAAGCAAGGAAACTGAAACAGTAATCAAAACTCTCTGCCCCCAAAAGTCCAGGAGCAGAAGACTTCACAAGTGAGTTCTACCAAACCTTCAAAGACAAACTAATATCTATCCTGTTCAAAGTCTAGAAATCAAGAGAGAAGCAATTCCTCCAAATACATTTTATGAGGCCAACATTACACTAATACCAAAACCAAACAGAGACAACACAAAGAAAGAAAACTACAGCCCGATCTCCCTAATGAATACACAAAAATACTCAATAAAACCTTAGCAAACTGAATACAACAATGCATTAAAAAGATTACACATTATAACTAAGTGGTACTTATACCAGGAACACAAGGATAGTTCAATATCTGAAAATCAATCAATATATTACACCATATCAACAAAAAGAAAAAAATCACATGATCATATCATTAGATGCTGAGAAAGCATTTGATAAGATTCATTATCTATAATGAAAACCCTTGAAAAACTAGGGGTAAATGGAATATCTTAACATAACAAATCCAGAGCTAGTATCAATCTCAATAGTGAAAAACTGGAAGCCTTTTCACTAAGATCGGGTACAAAACAAGGATGTCCACTCTCACTAATACTATTCAACATAGTATTAAGAGTACTAGCTAGAAAAATTAGGCAAGAGGAGCAATAAAAGGAATACAAATTGGAAAATAAGTAAAGCTATCATTATTTGCAGGTGATACAATATACAAAGATAACACTCAGAGACCCAATGGAAAAACTATTTGAAATAATAAACCAGTTCATCATAGTGGCAGGATACAAAATCAACAAGCAAAAATCAGTTGCCATCCTATGTGTAAATAACAAACTAGCAGAGGAAATTAAGAAAGCCATCACATTTACTATCTCACCAAAAATAAATTAAATACCTGGGCATAAACCTAACAAATGACATGAAGGACTATTACAATGAAACACTGTTAAAATAAATAAGACAGAAAGAAATGGAAAGATACCTTCCTCATGGATGGGAAGAATCAACATTGTCAATTCCATTTTTTCCAAAACAATGTACAGATTCAATGTAATCACAAAAATCCCAACCATTTCTTCACACACACACACACACACACACACACACACACACACACACACATCCTAATAGGCAAAGCTCTCCTGATTAAAATAGTGAAAAATGGAGGTTTCACATTTCTGGAATTCAAACTATACTATAAAGCTATAATAATCAAAATAGCATGGGACTGTAACAAAAACAGACATACAGACCTGTGGACTAGAATTTAAAACCCAGAAATAAATCCACACATTATGGAAAACTAATATATGAGGTGCAAAGTATACACACTGAAACAAGGAAAGTCTCTTCAATAAATGGTGCTGGGGAAATTGGACTGCCACATGCAAACGAATGTGAGGTAGGTGACTAACTCACATCACACACAAAAATTAAGTCAATGGGCAAAAAACTTTGATGTGAAACCTGAGACCATAAAATACATAGAAGAAAACATAGGCAAAACACTCATCTCCAGCAGCAGGGAAAATAAAGGGGCAAATAAGCAAACAGGGCTATATCAAACTAAAAAATTTCTGTACAGCAAGACAGTGACCAAAACTAAAAGACACACTACTGAATGGGAGAAAATATTTCCACATCATACATCTGATAAGGGATTGCTATTGAAGATCTACAAAGCACTTACACAACTCAACAAAAAGAAAACCCATTAAAAAAAATGGGCAGAAAAGCTAAATAGGCATTTCTACAATGAAGACTTGTAGTTGACCAACATACATATGGAAAAAAATATGTTCATCACCACTTACTGTTATGGAAATGCATATCAAAACAAGATATCATGTCACACCTATGAGAATGGCCCATATCAACAAAACTGCAAACAAGTGCTGGCAAGGGTGCGACAAAAAAGGAACCCTCTCGCATTATTAGTGGGAATGTAGACAGGTCCATCCCTTCTAGAAAGAAGTGTGGCAATTCCTCAAAGTACTAAAAATAGATTTATCATATGACCCAGCAATTCCACTCCTAGGTATCTACCCAAAGACACAAAAATACTCATTCACAAAGAAACCTACATGCTTATGTTTATTGCAGCACTATTTATAAAGCCAAGATATGAAAACAACCTAAATGCCCAGAACAGATAAGTAGGTCTAGAAGATGTGGTACATGTACACAATGGAATACTACTCAGTGATCAAAAATTATAAACTCATGCCATTTGTGACAACATGGATGGAGCTGGAAGGGATTATTCTAAGTAATATTGGATGGCTCACTTATATGTGGAATCTAGAGAAGCCAAACAAAAGATCAGACAAAGACAAGTTGTAAGACTGATCCTCGAAAAGAGAATACAGATCTGAGACACTCAGGAGGGGTAGGGGTGGAAAAGGAGAAAGTAGAGAAAGCTTGGTACAGGGTGGTACAGGATTGTGGGCATTTTGGTGGTGGGAAATCTATGGTGACCACACCTGGAGGGAAAAAGCTATAATGTGAAAAAATGAACAAGAATGTTGAAAACTTTAACACACACACACAAAGAAGTAAATATGATGCAGATTATCTTTCATCATATTTATACAATATTAATAAACTGTTACCTATATCTTAGATTGTAATCAATAGCATACAAGCTTAAAAGTCTTTTATTGTTCACATAAGTTTCTCTAAAGTTTTTGGTTATATCTGTTTGTCTATTTGAATAAAAAGGGGCCCATAAATTAAAATAAAGTATAAAATACAGATTTAACATATTAAAAATAAATATTAATTTAAATGACAAGGAAGTATAATTAAGGACAATGAAAATATAATGGTAATGAAGGTGGGGAGAAAATATAAAACCAAATCATCAGGTACCCAGGTGTGTTTTTCCCTACACAAAAATAACACAAGTATTACAATTCATAAAACAAACATCCACAGGCACATTCAGGCATCACCTGATGTGATACTCTCTAAAGCATTTGGCATGGACTCCCTTCTGGCACTTCTCACAGCGGGTATTGGTCTGTGAGTGGCAGAGGGCACACCGGGTCCTCTTTTCCTGGTGGATGATCCAGTGTCCAATCATATCAAAACGGCTCTCAGTTTCCAGGCGCCTGCTTCGCCTCCCTTGGGATGATGTGTCCGCATTGCTCTCCAGGTACACACAGGCGACATATCTCCGGAAGGCCAGCAGGTCCACCTGGGCATCATGGGAACAGATCCGATGCAGCTGCCATGCATTGTTGAGGGCGGCATCAATGACATAGCCAATGAAGCTTGAGTACCACTTCATGCCCCGGATCTTCACCTTGTACTTGGCGATATTCTGGTCCATCCGACCAACACCTCCTACCTTCTCCTGGTACAACCTCACCAGAGATGGCTGATGGACCTGGGTCCGTGTTTTGGCTGCTCCTGAGTGATGGCTGGTCAGCCCCACAGGCTCTATGCCCACAGCATTAGAGCAGATGTTGACCACACTGCTATCATGCCAGCGACACACAATAATCTCATCACACTCATCAACTTTGTAATCAAATGTTCCCTTCTTCATTTTCTTCAGTTCTTTGGGATCTTTAAGGGGGCAATGCTCAGTCCTATACTCACGAACAGTTCCTGTGGCCTTTATCCCCTTTTTCCTCAAAATGGACATCAGTTTGAAACTTGTAAAAACCTTGTCAAAAAATATGTGGTATGGCAGACAGCCACGCTCCTGAAGCGCATCAACAAACTTCACCACCATACTGCCTCCTAGATCCAAGCCCTTGTCTGGTTTGGTGAACAATGTGCCTTGTGAAGGCTCAAACCACACTAAATAGCCAGTGCTGGTGGTCCCACACCAGATCTTGTAGCCGAGGCACATGGGCTTCCCCATACGCAGTTGCTTGGAACCCCGATGGCCAAAGTATTCACACATGGACTCACCAAAGCTGTAGAACTCTTCTAAGGGAGCGTGCTTCTGGAAATTGCAGTTCATTCGGACAATGAGAGGCCTGACCTTGGCAAACCTATCACTTTCATCCAGCTCATTGTTATCTGCGAAATGCAGGTATGAGAAGATCAGTTCAAATCTGTCCCTTCTAATTGCATCAGCCACAAGATGATGATGTGAATCAGGAGATGTTTCCCAAAACATCCTTCTTCTTGGATAAGAGATATACCCACTTAAAATCAAAATACCCAAGACACACTTCAGTTCCTGGATGGTGAGACCCAGGTTGACATTTTTCTGCCAAGCATATCTATTGGTTTCATTAACGATGAAATTAATTGTTCCTTCATCAAAAAACAATTCAAAGAGGCCTACAGGACTCAGCTCCTGACTTTTGAGATCCTCCATGTGAGGATCTGATGCTGTCCAACTGCTGAAGTCTGGCTGGATATCTCTTTTGGTCCAGACACGCTGAGGTTCAACTATTGCCTTCAGTCTCTTTGTGGCTGGCTGTAGCTGCAGGTCAACCTCATCTTTCCCAGGGCTGGGATCCTCAGGCACAACCGAGGCATGCAGCATACTGCCAGGCAGGTGGGCATCTTGCCAGCCATCTTCATCACCTGAATCCTCGTCAGTGAAGTCCCCTGAAGCATTATCAGGTGGGGCAATGAAGATCTCCTCTTTGCTGTAGCCACATTCCTCCTCCAGAGCATTCAGAATCTCAAGCAGCTTCTTGGATTTCAACTTTAAACCGGTACCACTCCCAGAAGTAAGTCCACTGCAACAACAGGAAACAGAAGAGGGAGCCATTCAGGAGAGCCAGTGCTTCAGCAAAAAAAAAAAAAAAAAAGGTTAAAGCATCACTCCAGAGGAGAACACTGCATAGCATCTAACCTTGAATGGTATCTCAGACCTGACACCATCAGGCACAGTGCCAGATAAGTGAGTTTTCCAGAAGTTTATATTTGAGGGAAGGCATGCTAAAGAGAAACTGGGTATTTCTTGTCCTTCTAAAATAAAGTATTTAGGATAGAGAGTGAATCTAAGGGCAACAGTCATTCAGTGGCCCTCATTCAATGGCCCCAGCATCTCTGCCTTCATACTTCTGTTTTACCCATTCCTTCTCTTTCTCTTATTCATTTGGCAATATAAATTTCCTCACATCCCAAAGTTTCGAAATCTCCCTATCTGAACTCTCATTTTTCAAATTCAGGGCCTATATGGATGTTCAGGTGGTTTTCTTGATATATGACATCTTTCTGCTACTCAAACTATCATTGGTGGCCATGGGAACCAAAAGGGTGGTAAGAGGTTCTTGTTTTTAATGAGTGCTGACCATGAGCAGGCACTTCCCAGGCATTGACATGGGGTTTCTCTATTCCACACTTGCACAGCACTTACTCTAAGTGTACACAGACCACAAGTCAACAACAAACAGCTATGCAGGATGCTATTAGGTGGGGACGAAGGCCATCCTTTATTCTGGATAAGGGATGGAGAGGGCAGTAAAGGAGTAGGACTAGGGGTACTATTGTAGACAGAAAATGGTGAGGTTCACAGGGCCGATGGTCTAGGAAAGATGAGGGAGTGGGTTCTACAGATAGAAACAGGGTGTTCCAGGTAGAGAGAGTGAGGTGAGGAGAAGAGAGCAAAACAGGTGGCCAGAACATATTTAGTGGCTAAGAGACTCTGGTCAGAATGCCTGACTATATACAGCCATCACAGGGGATGGAACAGAGCAGTGAGGAATTGGAAACATCACTCTGTCTATGAGAATGGAATGGTCTGCCAAGATGGGTACTGCTGCTGGCCTGTGCCCTTTTCAGGCTTTGACCTCTATGTGAAAACAGCCCCACTCTTGGGGGAGGGGGGATACAGATGTTACCTCTCTGAAGACTTTGGAGTTTAGATGCATTAAAGGTTCACTTTAACCTCACTTCCCAGGCACTGACTACACTAGCTTCCATGCTGGAGGATGAGGTACAGGTCTGACCTCTGAAGAAGTGAGGAATTCAACAAGCTCTTAGTAGACCAGAAAAAGAGATCAGCCATGGTAGTCAAACTGAGCGAAGTTCTCAGCAACCATCTTCATACCTCTCTTTCCCTGACCTCACCAGGTTACTAGCAGCAGATCCAGACATGGCCAGCTGGGGTTTCTACACAGTCTCACCACCAGAGCTGCAGTTGGCTCCCAGGTCCTAACCATCTTCTGCACATGGCATTCAAAACCTGGTGTAGGAAAGAAATCCTGCAGGGACTGTAGCAGCCCTGAGGCCAGCTGTCTTTAAGTCTTAAAAGATGAGCAATGTAAATGATATTTTGAGATCAAGTGTAGATAGATACTGGTACAATATCATCAGACCACTACCACACACATTCTGGTATCTTTTCTGTAATCTTGTCCCTATCTCTTAACTTCTTCTCATTTTTGCTTCTTAAACATCAAGTGGTTAATGAAGCCAGGAGGAATAAAGGCCTAAATTGTCATAGACTTGGCCATTTAAAATTAGAAGAATAAAAGCTTATGTAATTGTTACTAGAACCCGGCTGCCTCAGTGCTGGGAGTCGGCAGGAGCAGTGCTGTTCTTTCACCCTGCTGCTCCAACACAAGTCAGTTGTGGCATTTACTCCTCAGAGACCTTTTAAGTAACAGTATACTTCCTGGATCATGGAATGGGCCAATCAAATGCAATTATGAGCTGATTGGTTCTAAATTGGTTCTTAGTCCCATCAGCCACAGGATTGAAAAATGGTCCAATCAGACTTTTGTTACCAGGACCCAGCCTCCTCAGCAGCAGGAGCTTGCAGGAGCAGTGGTATTCTTTCACCTTGCTGCTCTACCACAAGTCTGCTGTGGCAGTTACTCCTCAGAGACCTTTTAACAGTATACTTCCTGGATCATGAAATGGACCGATCAGGTGCTATGAGCTGATTGATAAAGGGCCCAATAAGCCACAGGATTGAAAATTGGTCCAATAAGACTTGTGGGTAGGACACCCTGAAACAGGATATAAGCCAGGGTTGGAGGGAGCTGAGGGGAGAGACAACGCCAGCCTCCTAAGGAAGAAGAAAGAAGAGGAAGACTCCTTTCCTGACCTCCAAAGAAAGAAGAAAAGAAGGATCCAGGAGCTGACCTTCGAGAAGGGAAGAGAAGGCGAAGGACTCTGTCAGAGACTGGGCCTTCACTCCTGTCCCTAACATTGCCTGACAGGAGCACCAAAGGCCCTGGGCCTGGTGTCTGAAAGAGCTGTTTGTCGTTGGTATAACCCCACAACTCACAAAGAGCTATTAACACTTGGTGTCTCTGACACCACCTCTGTGGGATCAGTAGTGGCCATCACCACTGGCTAGTGTTGTCCAGCATTCCTGGTCACTGGTGGCAACCATCACTGAGTGGTTGAGAGTGCTAGCCAATTGTGGGTATAGTAAGCTCTTTGTTTCCCCTGTCTGTAAAAGAAACCCCATGGTTGTTGTTCCTGGAGCCTGAGGTTTCCTGCAATTGTGTGTGCAGGTGAGAAACCACAGACAGTGACCTGTGCTTTTATCTGGCACTGTCTTTTGTTAGGCTATGGCCCTTTTTTTTGGTTTTTGGCCTTTTGGGCTTTTTGGTGGCTCTCTGGTCTCAGAGTCTGGGCAGATGAGTAGCCATTCCATCCTTCCAATAGGCTTCCTGACTTAATGCCCTTTTGCCCTATCCATGCAGGTTTCATGATGTCTTTCATCAAACAGCACTCCTACCTTGAGGCAGAAGCCATGGTGAACTGGAAACACAAGATTATTTTTACTCACAGAGCTTAAGAATCTGAAAAACAAAAGAAGTCCATATTTAAAATATTGTATCTTAATAAACAAGGCAATAGGATTTTTTATACCTCTCTACTTTGCAATTTAAAGGAAAAGGTTTGGGGCAGCCACCGCAGCCAGGGCAGACTGTGGGTGCAGGAAAGTGCTTCTGATGAGCCATTTTAGAATAGGGACCTTCACTTCAACATAGACTGCTTGAACTCCCACCCCTCACTCCTGCCCCCGCCTCCCGCAGCCAGAGATGAGCTGGGAAGCCCTCTCACACCAGGCCCCCTCTGGCCAGCAGTCGGGGCTCCAGCAGCCTGTGAGCGCAGGAAAGTGCGCTTCCAATTTGTCATGTTAGAATAGGGACCTTTGCTTCAACAAAGACTGCTTGAAACTGGAAGAGGGTTGCCTCTGCAGCCAGAGGTAAGCTGTGAAGCACCCTCACACCAGGCCCTGTCTGACCAGCAGTTGGAGCCCAGAAGGGATTCTGCAGCCAAAACTGGGGCAGACTGTGGGCGCAGGGAAGTGCGCTTCCTACTCGCCATTTCAGAATAGGTACCTTTGCTTCAACCAAGGCTGCTTGGAACTGGGAGAGGGCTGCCACCACAGCCAGAGGTGAGCTGAAGGCCCCTACAAGCCAGGTCCCACCAGGCAGGGAGTTGGAGTGCAGAGGGGGATCCAGCGATTTGGAGCCCAGGGAGCAATCCAGCCACCCCACCTCCAGGGCAGTCTGTGGGACTTCAAGACACACCTTTGGAATTAAACAAATACAAAAGGAGAAGATATTCTGTGAAAGTGAACATTAACATATTCATAGTATCACTGCCCTACTGGACTTCTGGCATAACAGTATTTGACTCGATTGGACTACCAGATTCCGATATCTCAGAAAGAGCACACCGAAGAGATGCCAGCCAGTACCAACAACACAGTGTCCGAATGCATTGGACAAATTAGAAAACAAGCAGTAGGGAGAAGAAAAACTACAAGCAACCAAGCAAGTCCTCAGGGAAAAGACACACCACAAAAAGAAAATCACCCACCAGATTGCAACAACAGTGACTTAGAAGAACTTCTGAGAATTTAAAATTGCCGTGATTAAAAAACTGACAGAAGTCATTAAGGAAAACAATGATAAGGGAAAAATAATCAACGATCAGAAGAATGAAATTGAGTTTCTAAAGAGGGAAGTGAAAGAAATGAAGGAGACCAAAGGATAAATAGAAGAGCTAAAGAACTCTGAGAAAATCAATGATAGCAGAATAGATGAAATGGAAGAACGAGTAAGTACTTTCAAAGACACAGAAATAAAAAGAACCAAAACAGAAAAGGAAAGAGAAGTATGAATGAAAAAGAATGAAGAAAGACTTCGGGAACTATCTGACTCCATGAGGAAAGGAAATATAAGTTATAGGAATCTCAGAAGGAGAGGAAAGAGACATAGGAACAGAGAAATATTAAAGGAAATAATTGAAAAACTTCCCAAACATGAAGAAGTCACTGAAAATAGACATAAAAGAAGCAAGAACACCAAACTTCCATGATGAAAGAAAAAATACAGCAAGACATATAATAGTAAAGCTCCCAAGAATCCAAGACAAGGAAAAAATAATGAAGATGGCAAGAGGGAAGAAACAGATAACATACAAAGGAAAACCAATCAGGCTGACATCAGGCTTTTCTGAAGAAACACTAAGGGCAAGGAGAGAGTGGAGGGACATAGTCAACAAACTCCAAGACAACAAATGCCAACCAAGAATACTCTAGCCCAAAAAGCTTTCCTTCCTCAAAGAATAAAAATAAGGACCTTTCCAGACAAACAGAAACTCTGGAATTTCATTATGACTAAACCCCCACTCCAAAAAATACTACAAGGAGACCTAAAGCCAGAACCAACAGAGGGATAAATAAGAATGAAACAAGACCAAAAAAAAAAAAAAAAAAACTAAAAAAATAAATAAAACCAGAGAAAAGACAAACACAATGGCAAATGCATACGCTAACATATCAATATTAACCCTAAATGTAAATGGAAAAAAACTCTTCAATAAAAGACACAGAGTCTCAGGCTGGATTAAAAAGCAAAACCCAAACTTTTGGGTCTCCAGGAAACTCACTTAACTACAAAAGAAAAAACAGACTGAAAGTAAAAGAATGGAAACAATCCTACAAGCAAATGGACCAAAAAAGAAGGCAGGAACAACTATACTTATATCAGATAAAACAGATTCAAACTCAAAAAGGTAAAAAGAGACCCCAGGGCCTCCCCGGTGGCGCAGCGGTTGAGCGCTGGGTTGCGAAGCTGCCCGCAGCCTCTGCAGCGCCGGTTCAATCCCCGGCAGCTCCCCGGCCACCAGAGGAGGGTCCCACATGGCACGCAGACCTCTCCTGCCACCCGCTGCTCCCCTCAGCAGTGTACTTCGGTCCTTCTGCCTGCTCTACTCCCAGCTCTGGCTCTGGTGAATTCTCTCACCCTCCCGCGCTTCAGACCATACCCAGTGCTTGTATAAATAAATAAATAAACAAATAAATAAATAAAAATAAAAATAAAAATAGATCTTAAAAAAAAAAAAAAGAGACCCCAACGGTCGCAGTCACTATATTATGATCAAGGGGACAATACTTCAAGAAGAAATAATACTCATTAACATATACTCACCAAGTGAAGGAGCACCAAAATATATCAGACAACTATTATCATCTCTGAAAACAGACATTAGAGAAAACACATATGTAGTAAGAGAATTCAACACACCACTATCAACAATGGATAGAGCAATGAGACAAAAAATAAGTAAAGACACTAAAGCTCTAAATAAGGATCTAGAGCTCATGGGCTTAACAGACACCTGTAGAACACTAAACTGAAAAAAATATGAGTACACATTTTTCTCAAGCACACACGAATTATTTTCCAGGATCAATCACATACTAGGACACAAGACAAATATCAACAGATACACCAAGACTGAAATCATACCAACCATCTTCTCTGACCATGAAGGCATCAAACTAGAATAAACCATAAAAAGAAGGCAAGGGACTTTCCTACCTCATGGAGATTGAAACCCACACTACTGGAAGACCACTGGATTAATAGGCAATCAAAGAAGAAATTAAAAAATACTTTGAGCTGAACGACAAGGAGGACACCAATTTCCTAAATGTATGGGACGCAGCAAAAACAGCAATAACAGGAAAATATATAGCAATACAGGCTCACATCAAGAAACAAGAAAGAACTCAAAGAAACAACCTAATCTTACAGCTCAAAGAACTAGAAAAGCACAACAAAACCCCAAAACCAGAAGAAGAAAACAAATAATAAAAATCAAAGCAGAAATAAATGAAACAGAGACTAAAAAACAATCCCAAAGTTGCTTCTTCTAAAAAATAAATAAAATAGACAAACCCCTAGCCAGGCTCACAAAGGAAAAACGGGGAAAAGCACAAATAAATAGGATCACAAATGAAAGAGGAGAAATCACAACAGACACAGCAGAAATCAAAAGAATAATCAGAAACCACTATGAACAGTTATATGCAAACAAGCTCCACAATCTAGAAGACGTGGACAAATTCCTACAACTCTGTAATCACCCAAAACTAAATAAAGAAGACATAGAACACCTAAATAGACCAACTACAAGCAGTGAAATTGAAATGTTAATCAAAATTCTTCCGAAAACAAAAGCCCAGGACCAGATGGATTTACAAATGAATTCTACCAAACATTTAGAATGAATTAGTTCCTAACCTTCACAAACTCTTTCAAAAAAATTGAGAAGGGATAATACCAAACACGTTCTATGAAGCCAACATTACACTAATACCAAAACCAAACACAATGACAATACTAAAAACAAGGACAACACAAAAAAAGAAAACTACAGGCCGATCTTTCTAATGAATATTGATGTGAAAATCCTCAATAAAATTTTAGCTATCAGAATCCAACAATGTATCCACAAGATAATTCGCCATGACCAAGTAGGATTTTTTTTTAAAGATTTATTTATTTATTTATACAAGCACTGGGTATAGTCAGAGGTGCGGGAGGGTGAGAGAATTCATCAGCGCCAGAGCAGAGAGCAGAACAGGCAGAATGACAAAGTACACTCCTGAGGGGAGCAGCGGGCAGCAGGAGATGTCTGCGCCCCATGTGGGACCCTCGCGAGGCAGCTGGGGATAGAACCAGCGCTGTAGAGGGTGCAGGCAGCTTTGCATCCCAGTGCTCAACCACTACGCCATCGGGGAGGCCCTGACCAAGTAGGATTTATTCCAGGGACACAAGGATGGTGCAACATCCGAAAATCAATCAGTTGCAATCTAACACATCAACAAAAAGAAATATAAAAACCATATGATAATATCAATAGATGCCAAGAAAAGTTTCAACTAATTAGACTAATCAATCAGTTTAGTAAAGTAGCAAGATACAAAATCAACACGCAAAAATCAGTAGCCTTCCTATACACAAACAATAAATCTGAAGAAGAAATCAAGAAAACCATCCCTTTCGTTTTTTAAAGATTTTTAAAAAAGTAATTAATTAATTAATTAATACAGGCATTGTAAGACTGAGGGCAGGCTTCTATTTTCTATATAGAACCAAGGGGTCCCGGTGCCATGGGAACAGTATGTAGTGTATTTTTCTCAGACCATTTTGCCTCCTGGGGCACCTCAGGGCCTTCTCTGGTGGGGGACTTTTGCCGGGCTTGGTTCCAACAGCTCTATCAAGCATGGCTTGCTGGGAAAGGAGGGCTTGGGGTAAAAATAAGGGGGTTGTAATTGTATGATTCCCGGTAATTCTCCACGTCCTCCAATTTGTTAATTCAGTGTTACTATGAGTAACACTGAGTTTTGTACTATGAGTAACATTGAGTAACACTGAGTTTTGTAATTCAGTGTTACTATGAGTAACACTGAGTTTTCATATAATAGGAACTTTCTTTTTTTTTTGGTCATTAATTTTTTTTTAATTTAAATTAAATTTTAATTTTTTAATTTAAATTAAAAAAAATTAATGACAAAAAAGAAAGTTCCTATTATAGAATTAAAAATAAAAATTAAAAAAACCTTCATTGTTCAAAAAAAAATAAAAAAAAAAAACAACTCAGTGTTACTCATAGTAACTGAATTACAAATTGGAGGACGTGGAGAATTACCTGGAATCATTTCATATCAATCATGTTGGAAGGTACATTTCTCAAACTACTGCAGTGTGCATTACCAAAACTGGCATTGATGCCAACACTCATTGTGTTATTCTGAAGCTTATAGAAAATTTCCATGGTTACAATAACTGCCACAAACAAATTAAAGGAAATAGCAGGAGCCAGCCATGCAGTTTTCTGACTTTTCAGAAATCTGCCCCATGCCCGGACCTTTGTTAGAGTAGCATGGGCCATGCCAAATAACCAAAACAAAGAGAAACCCCACTGACTGGGAGAAAATTTTTGCACACAACACTAATGATAAAAGACTATTCACAAAAATCTACAAAGAGCTGACGAGACTCAACAAAAACAAAGAAAATAATGCAGTCAAAAAATGGGCAGAAGAGCTAAAAAGAAACTTCTCCAAAGTGGAAATGCAAATGGCCAACAGGCATATGAAAAAATGTTCAACATCACTTGTAATCAGGGAAATGCAAGTCAAAACTACAATGAGATACCATCTTACCCAGTGAGAATGGCACACATCAAAAAAAACTAGCAACGACAAATGTTGACGAGGATGTGGAGAAAA